TGGAGAAGGACATCATGCTTGGTAAAGTAGAGGGTCAGCGAAAAAGAGGAAGACCCTCAATGAGATGGACTGACACAGCGGCCGCAGCAATGGGCTCTAGTATAGTAACAATTGTGAGGACAGCCCAGGACCAGGCAGTGTTCCGTTCTGTTGGGCACAGGGTCACTATGAGTGGGAACTGACTCGACGGTGCCTGGCAACAACCACGGTCACGCAACTGACCAAACCTGCTACTAAGTTACTTAAGGGAGACGGATCCTAAGCACTTTAAGGGCAAAAAGACCATGTTTTCTTTTATTTGGGGTGGAACTCTCAGTGCCTGGTCCTCCGTATACAATTATTCAGTATTTATTAAATGACTAATATTGTTCATTCAATCTGGAATTCATTAATTGTTGATATTAAATACATGAAATTTGAGGAAAAATGCAATTATGTTCATAGCATACAGACTGTTGGCTATTCTACCACCAGGAGGCTTTGCTCCACTGCGACCAACTCAAGCCAGCGTCTCATTCCGCTAACATCCACCGACTTGCTAACCACTTGATCTGTTGGTGGTAGGGTGTTCCTCACTATAAGGAAGCAATTCCAAAATATTTTAAACCAAAATTTTCAGCAAAGTTAGAATATATTTAAATAGGCACTTTTAATAGTACATTTAAATTATAATTTGACACCTTTTCAACTAAATCTTGCTTTTTCATAAACAGACCTTTAATACAGAGGCTGACATCCTATATACAAAACAACTTATCTCCTTTTTTTCCTTTTGAATGGGAAATAGAATAGTAATTTCTATTTATTATTAAGTAGTAAAACTTTAATCTTTTTCAAGTTAAAATACTGCTATAAAAGATGTTCTTTGCCTTTGAAAACTGCTGCTTAATCCATTTTTTCTGAACACTCTTATAATACAGATCCCTGTCTCTTTCTTTCTTTAACTCAGCAGCCTGTTTGTTAGGAAGTATTCATTGCTCATATGACATCGTGTACTTATTGGTTTACAAATTCCTCTACTAGATGAACCTCCTTTAGGGTAGAAACATACATTTCTTTCTCACTACTGTACTTACAGTCCTTGGTTCAGCGTTTGCACTTAACCCGTTGCCACTGAGTTGATTCTGGGCATAGAGACCCTACAGGACACAGCAGAACTGCCCCATAGGATTTCCAAGGACTGGTTGGTGGATTTAAACTGTCAACCTTTTGGTTAGCAGCCGAGCTCTTCACCACTTAGCCACCAGGGCTCTGCTTGTCACTTAGTGTTTAGTATTTGCTGAATAAATAATTTAAGTGTAATCCTGTTTCTCACTTTTCTCCACTATTATTCAATTAAACTTTTATTTTATGAGACAGAGGCTCTACGGTCCTACATGGGGTATGTGAACAAAACATAACAATCAAGGGCTTACATTGTTGGTAGAAGTACGCAGGATCGTAAGGCTCCTTTGTGTTCCCTTTCCTTCTTTAAACATAGGGTACCAGAGGTCAAGCCAGAGCCAGGGCGTCTTCATTCTTCGAAGTATCATGTCACTCATCCTGTAAGCAGGGTAAAAATACATTCGCTGTTACGCCAGAATGTGTCTTTCTTGAGCACCTACTATTTGGCGTGTGGCTTTGATAAAGGTAATATATGGGAACGATGATGACGAGTCTGAGAGACTACTCGGAGCCTCATGCTTTATGGTCAACAATGAGGGTGTGAAGCTTAAAAAAAAGGGGGGGTCTTTAGAAAAATGAGGAGCCCTGGTGGCGCACTGGTTAAGAGCTCAGCTGCTAACCAAAAGGCCGGCAGTTCAAACCCACCAGCCGCTCCTTGGAAGCCCTATAGGGCAGTTCTACTCTGTCCTATAGGGTCGCTATGAGTCACAATTGACGTGATGGCAATGGGTTTGGTTTTTTTGGTTTTTAGAAGAATGAAGAATTCTTTTTAAAACACCCTCCTTACTAGCCAGCCATCTGATCTCTGCTTCTGTTTCTTCAACGACACCTTCCAAAGCTTCCTGGGGCTCTTGTATTACAGGTTGAGATGAAATTTACTTCTTTTTGTTGTTGTAAAAATACAGGTAACATAATATTTACTAATTTAACATTTTTCATGTGAACAGTAAGACAACTACATCGATCTTACTGTGCAAACATCACCAATATCCATTGTTAAATTTTCCATCCCCATTAACAAAAACTCCACGCCGCCTAAACAATGATTTCCCCTTTCCCCGTGCCTCTTACCCCCAGTAATCACTATTGAACTCTGATCTCTATACATGTCTCTATTCTGGGTCTTTAATATTAATGTTATCGTACAATATTTGTCCCCCTGTGATTGACGTATTTACTTCTTCTTAATGTACGTTGCTTTGTTTTGGTCTCTCTCCCGGCGTGAAAGAACACCTGGCTGCCTGCTCTCTTCTACAGCTGTCACATGGCTGCCCTTAGCCCTCCCTCGTTTCTGGTGATAGAGCGGAAAGACCCCTGCATGGTCTCCTCCTTCAACACCAGCTTAGACGCCAGTTCTTCAGAGAGGTCTTCCCACACCACACAATCTATACCACTTATTCCTGGTTTTTTCTCTAATGACAACTTGATCTTTTCTTTCTAAGCAATTATCACAGTTTCTAAGTTTATATTTATTGGTTTACTGCTTATCTCGCATGCTACTCTGTCTGTTTTACGTACCACCATGTAACTAGTGAAAGGAACCCTGGTGGCAGAATGGTTAAGAGCTCTGCTCCTAACCAGAAGGTCGAGAGTTCGAATCCACCAGCTGCTCTGTGAGAGAAAAAAGCTGGTGATCTGCTCCCATGAAGATTTACAAACAATAGGGCAGTTCTATCTGTCCTGTAGAGTTGCTGAGTCAAAACTGACTCAATAGCACACAACGACAACATACAACTACAGAGTACGTGGGTGGTGCACATAGTTAAGCACTCGGCTACTAGCCAAAAGGTTGGTTCGAATCCACCCAGAGGTGCCTTGGAAGTCACGCCTGGCAATCTGCTTCCCAAAGGTCACAGCCTTGAAAACTCGATGGAGTGTTATACTCTGCGCACATGGGGTCGCCATGAGCTGCAGTTGACTCAACAGCAAATAACGACAACTAGTAAGTACCTCGCGCAATGATCGCACGCCGCAGATGCTCAATAAATACTCACTGACACGAAGGAAAATGAGCAGAGGACTCGAAGACAGGATAGTTGGCCCTGCTTCTTAACACCTGAGTAACTACAATTTTTAAAGTAAAATTGATTGTTTAAACTACTAAAACAATATATATTAGTATAGAAAATACGGGGAAGTAGAATCAAGAACAAACAAAACACAATAAAAAAGAAGTACATACACAAAACAGTGATCACAGCTAACACTTTGGTAGAGTACCTTCCAGTCTTTTTTCTATGGATACTTTTTATACTTAGTGGTGATCACATTCCATAAAATTATTTCCATCTTCCTTTTTATCACTTAGCATCATAACATAAGCACTTCTTAATATATCATAATCACTTTAAATTATAGGTTTAATCTGGATGTGCCATAATTTACGTAAGCACGCCTCCACTGTGAAAACACCTGCCTAAATGACGAGGCTGATTTTTAGCAGAATGTTTCACTTGAAGCAATAAAAAAGACACAGCCCAGACAAAAATTATTAGCAATAATTTTTTAAAGCAAAAATCAGTAACAATTTAAAAAATAACTGAAAGGATTTCATTCAGCTATAAACTGCACGGACATAGTCGGAATCACCATTATTCTGAGCACCCATATTCTTCCCCACAGCTGTTTCTATAAAACACAGGTGAGGGGCATTCATTTGATTCATGCACATATCTTGTATTTATTTTTGCGGCAGCAGGCACTTTTAAAAAGACATGAGTTCTGTTCTGTTTGTGTATATTTTATAATTGTTCTTCCCCCTCTCCTTTTCCCTCTCTTCTTATACCTTCTGCTTGTCCTGCTTCATTTCTGTGCTTCCCTTCTGTTCTTTCCTGGCACTTGGGCCCTGTGACTACCATCCCTACCCTCAGGAGTGGCTGCTGCTTCTCAGACTTCTAATTCAGCGATGGAACCTCCCTGAAGAATCCAGGTCTTCTCATTTGCCTTCCCCGTGGAACATGTATTTTCTATTTGGGCCATTTCATCTTTCCACCGTAACTTTAGAAAACATGCAACGAAACTTACCACAGACGGTATCCAAGGCACGGAGGGTGATGTAAAAAAGCACTTAGATGCTTCTCGCTTAACATGTTTTTCAAGCTTATTAACCAATATATTTGCTTGTTCATTCATAACATCTAAGAAATCTTCCAGAACTGTAAAATGGAAGGTGGGTGTTAACATTTTCCTCCTGGTGCACCATTTGTTTTCAGTACTAGAAATGCAATACATGGTTATAAATTTAAAAAAGGAAGCAACATCCAAAACAAGCAAAGCATAAATACAGTCAAGTCAACCAATTCTCCTGAAAGAGCTTAATCTACAGATTCTCAAATGCTTTGCTCAGAATGACAAAAGAACACACATACAATATGCATCACAGTTACAGAATGTGGATATTTTGGATTTGTTCTATATTACTAATATTAAAAATAACATTCATAACAACTAAAACAATTAAGTACGTAAGTTTCTAAAAACATGAATCATGACCCATATGCTCCATGATTCTACGTGGATCTCCACTGAGTTGGAGTTCTCCAAATTCCCTAGAAGGGTCCTGGCGTTTCTCTTGCTAGACCTTCTCTCGGAGGATGGAGTCCTATTTCTGGATGCCAGTTCAAAGACTGGAGTTCACTGTGCTCAATATACTTCTCTGTTGCTGACTACCTTTTTGTTTGGGATTTCAAGATATCCCTGTTTCAAACTCTCCTTTGCTTTACTCCACTCGTACACCAGGACTTCCTAATTCTGAACACTGTAGATATAGCTTTGAACCCGATGGCTGGAGATTACCAAATGCCCTGGAATCCAGCTTGTCTAAACTCCCTGTCAAAGCTCCACTGTTAGCCAGACCTCTCCCTCCAACTTCCCCCCTACTTCTAGCTAGCACACTCATGCCACAGCAAAGCCACCTTTGTGTTAACTTTACCTGGTGACACGTGGAAGTAACTGTTTCCAAGAGATAGCTTTACAAACTTATGCGGGCATAGTAAGTAAGAAGTCCTTGGCCAAGCCATGGTTCTAGGAACTTCTACATAGATGACTTGTCAATTTGCTCTGAACTAGTTAAAATTACCTTAGAAACAGAAAAAAATTTTTTTTTTAATTTGAGAGATTTGCAGATAGCAAAAAAACCCTCCGTTATAAGAATACTTGGCTAGAACACAACTATTTTTAAAGGTAAAATTTTCATAATGAATTTGAAGACATTATTTTTCTCTGAAATTCATTTTTATTCCTGCATCTAAAAGAAATTCAATTAAAGTTTTTGAACATAGGACTGTCATTCAGTCTTGGGGTCCAAATGAAGCTGTGGGAACAAAAAAAAGTCCAAGATGATCGGAACCAGGAACCAACTAGGAAACAGACTGTTGGTAGGTGCAGGTGAATCTGATGGATGATCACCTCTGGGGATGGAAATCATGAGTTCATTTTCAGGTACACTGATTTTGAGGAATTCCAGTTGTCATGATTTGAAAGTAGCATGGAACCTCAGGATGAAGGCCTGAGCTGGAGATGAACATTTGAGTGTGTCCAGCATACAGATACCATTGGGAGCCACGGGTGTGGATGGAACCACCTGGAGCCAAAGGGAAGTACAACAGGGATGAAGCATCCAGGACTGAGCACAGAATGCTCCCGAGCATCTTACTTGAGTCCCCTACTCTGGCCAGATCTCCACCCACATGTACCAAACTGCCCTATACCGGGTCAGCAGTAGCTGAGATCCTACGCCTAGCCCCCTCACCATCTTCTAGGGATCGGGATTCTGGAGTGTGGTACAAGAGAAACTCCAACACTTTTACCACAATAACTGAGACAGACTATTTCCTAAGAAATTCTGCTTTTAACTTTTTTCCACGAAGAGAAGTTCTGTTTATCTCATTTTTACTACCTGATCCAAATCCTTTTCTCATCATACCTAGGATAATTTCCCCAGTGTCACAATAATTCAGATAAGAAGTGTTTCTTCTAGGAGAAACCTGGTATAATGATGATGAAGAGAACCCGAGAAATCTCTTCTTTTGCTCAATGTTCTAACTTTCCAAATCCTATTTCGAAAATATTTTCAAGTCATTGGATAAAGTATGCTGTAACTTTAAAAAAATGAAGCATACAGTTTTCTCTGTTTTGAGAAATACATGCAAGATAGATATTAAGATTATATTCTATAATACTAATTTTTTTTACTCTGAGATATGCATTTTTTCGGAGTAATTTCAATAGCATGAATGAACAATACCTGCCCTATCAACATCTAGTTAAGATTCTCCTTGAAGCAAAACTAACTTGTAGCCATAAATTTATAATGGTTATAACATGAGACTCTGGGGACCTTGAGGGAAGCACCATGTGTTAGTAATCTTATATTTTTGGAGCCTTCAACAGTGCTTGTAATACAGCATGTGTTCACCTTGTAGAATAATCAGTTTATGGTTTATTTATGGTTTTATAAAACTGTATCCTCCTGCAGACTTTCCAAAAGGAAAACAAATATACTGGGACCTGTAAACAAATGAGCACAGGTATCTGGAGGTGTTATCCTCCCCAGGATTCAGATGACATCTGCAAAGCATCTACATAGCCTAACATTTCAATGGAATGCTCTACATACTGAGTTCAATTAAATAAAAGGACATTTTAAAAATATTTACTCTGATGAGATTCTCACACCACCAAATATGCAGTGAAATACTGGCCGTATTCGCCACATACCCGCCTCTATACTCCCTGCGCTGTAAACCATGACCATTGGTACTGGCCCAATCCAGAGTTTCAGCAGTGACATGTATTGGTATCCTTCAGAGTACTGAATTATCTGCTGAAAAATTTCTGGGAGGAAAAAAATACTTAATTTTAAATTCAATCAAGATGATAATTTGTAATAAGCTCCTTATTGTACTTTTTGGAAGGAAGGATGGAAGGAAGGAAGGAAGGAATGACATAGCATGAAAAACAAGTCATCACAATAGCAACAATACAGCAGATGGTCCTACCTTATGGATAAGGGAAATGTATGACAGAAATGTTACTAGAGATGGATGGGAGAAATTGGGAATACTCTGTTAAAAGGTACCTGCAATGAAAGTGACTTAGATTAGCTGCACATTTTAAGGGCAGTGAAATTATCCTGCAGGATACTGTAATCGTGTATACATAAAATTATGCGTTTGTCAAAACCCACAGGACTATATAACACGAAGCGTGAACCCTCATGTAACTATGGTTTTCCCTAATAATGTATCAGTATTAGTTCATCAGTTGCAGCAAATGTGCCTCACTAAGGGAAGATGTTAGTATTGGGAGAAACTGCACGCAGGGGGAGAAGAGATACGTGGGTGCTCTCTCTACTTTCTGAAGATTTTTATGTATCCCTAAACCAATTCTAAAAATAAACTGTATTTTTTTATCATTAAAATTTTCAGTTCTCTTTCAGTATCAATAAATGTGCACAAGAGACATGCTTAGCTCGTCCCTGTTCCTCATGCCTGGGTATCAGGGCAGGCTGCTCAAAGTGCAGAGAGAGGGGTTGAGGCTCGGGGATGACTACTGCATATAATAATAAAGAAACAGCAATGGCAAAACAAAAGTGCACATCTGGGCACATAAAAGCCTAAGAATAATTAGCCTATAATTGTTGCTAGTGTTGGCAATCTTATGCCGACCTTACGTATAACAGAACAAAATGTTACCCAGGCCTCTGCCATCTTCATAATCATTGGTATGTTTGAGTCCATACCTATAAGAGATAATACTTATTATGTCATATTTATTTGCTGTGGCTGTGGTTATTACATTACACCAGACTCTACGTTAAGTATTTTGGATGCCTTGCATATATAGGGTCGCTATGAGTTGGAATCGACTCAACGGCAATGGGTTTGGGTGTTTTTTTTTTTAATGCTTCAGCACAGCCATGTACAAGGTACTGTTATCGCTGTCATTGGACAGTTGAGGAGATTGTGCACAGTTAAGCAATTGCCCAGTAGCACACAGCTAGTGAAAGGTAGAGCCTGGTTTTGTATGGAAGACAAACAGATGCCAGCACACCATACTATCTCCTGGTCAAAACGGTGGTCAAAATTGCTGTGAAAACAGCTGGGTCAAATCACCAGTGTCAAAATACCTTGTTTCATGTGAATATGCTGCCTTCCTTGATCTTGTCTGACAGAGGGGACAGGAAAGTCTGGATCAGTGGTTTGAAGATATCAGGTTTTAAAGCTGGGAACAGTTGGGGAAGGCAGAAGCTGACGCAATGAGCTGGAGGACCAAGAGATTAGAGTCTGAGAAGCCAATCAGAAGCCAAGGTCAATATCCCAGGTGAGATTCTTGAGGCCGGAATTTGAACAGTATCTGTAGAACGACAGACACCATCTCTTGTATAAGAGACAAGACTATTGAAGACAGGGACTACATCTTAAAATAGTCTTATATCCTAACTTTGCTGGGTGGGGCACAACGCAGAGGCTCAATAGATGCATGACTTATTAACTTAATTAATTAATTAACCTAAATAACAGGTTCTAACCGAGTTCTAGACAGTGGCCTGGAAAATTTACACACTTTAAATTTAATCATTCAAATAACTGCAATACGGTTACTTTCACAAATAAAGAAAAAGAAAATTTGACAGACAGTTTTAAGATATTTGCTCAAAGTCAGCTCACTCGTTGGTTGCAAAGCTTCGAGCTGAGCAAAGGGTTTTCTTGATGCCCAAATCCAGGACTTGCTGTTACTTTGTAAAAGACAGTATATTGTCATGCTTTTCACTCAGAAAGTAACTCCAAAAAGAATTACTTTAGATACTCCGACAAGCTCACAGTTTGTTTTGAAACAAGTCTTATTCACTAGAGATTTTTTGAAAAAGATTCCCCCAAAGAACATGATGAGGCTTCTTAAACATATCACTTCCTTGGAGAGGGGGGACATCTATAATTCTGCACAGCTATATTTTAATGCCACGAAGCCTTAAGCTGCAAAGGGAGGTTACCTCTGCTTTTAGTATGAATTAACCAAGATAACTTTTACAAATGTGAGTTTGGGAGTTCTAAATGTGCTGCTGGATCACTGGAAACATCAGTCACGTGCATGCTTGACTGGTAAAGAGTTTACCTGGATTTCTTCTCCCAGAAAACATTCTCAATATTTTTGTAAACACATTCTCACGAGGCATCATCTTATTCCTGTGAAGTTGAAATGACAGCATAATCTTTACTGGGGGAACAGGCGTGGAAAAGTGTCAAATAATCCTTCAAGCTTTGGAGTTAATGCTTGGCCTTTGGGACAACTATTAAAAATTAATCTGAGGGGGAACTGAGTTCCTGTCCTGGGCCCATTTTAAAATGTGTGGGGCAAATCTCAGTTCTGTGTAATTCAACACACACCACCATGAAAATGAAGAGCTATGATCTCATTCACCCTCCCTGATGGCGGATTGCAAATACCTGGTACTTTTGAGAGCTTTCTAACTTAAAGTGAATTTTTTTCCATCAACAAAACAAAGTAAACGTCTATCTCTTTAAAAAAAGATAATTTCAATAAAAACTTCACTCTTCAATAAATAAGGCTTTAGAAACTAGGCATATAATTTTGCAAAGTGTTCTCCCATCATAGCTATTCACTGTTAGTATGCAATTTCCTTAAGAGGGCTGAAGTACGAAGGTTAAGAAGAAATGAAAGTAGTGGTCAAGTCTTATGGTGTCTTGGGGGGAAGAAAAAGCCCCAAATGGATCTGAGTCCTTGTTTTCACAAGCAGGAGTGAGGGAAAGGAGGGCTAACTATTAAAGTAGTCGCGGAGTCCCTGCGAAGCCTCTGGCGTTAGGGCTTTTTTGTTGTTGTTAAAAGCCAAGAGAGGAGAAAACAGGCAGGGTTCTGAGACCAGAACAACTGTGAGGGGGAGAAGAGAAGAGTGAAAGTAGAACGACGAGAGTTTGGAAACGCGGCATACTACGCTACACATAGAGGAAAAGTTCATTATGGGACGGGACGGGACGGGAGGGTGGCACCAGCAATGTCGACAAGTAACAGACCCTTCTCGCTCCTAGGACGGGCTTGCGCGAGGGCAGGAGGGCGAGCGGGGCCGTGCGGAGCTCTGGGGCAGAAGGGGCACCTGGGGGCCCGCGGGCTCCGCAGCCGTCGCGTGAGGACGCGGCCGCCGGGCGTGGTCCCCACCTTTCCCGTCCGGCTTCCAGAGCGGCGCGTGGCCCACCAGAGGGTAGGCGCGGGCGACGGCGGGCACGGGCCGCATCTGCTGCCACTTCCGCGCGTAGCTCGCCAGCATCTGCAGAAGGGTCAGCAGTAGGGAGGCGCCCACCAGGAGCAGGGCGCTCGTCGCGCCCCATAACGGTTTCTGCCCCACCGGCACCAGCCAGAGCCCCAGCGTCGCGCCGCGGCGCCCTCCGCGGGGGGAAAGCGGCCGCGCGGGGCGGGGCG